TCTCTTATGAATAAGCTTGTCCTTTCGTCAAGTGTAAGTATCGCACATATAGCATGTCACTGAAAATTCTTCCTTGTGCACTATACACAAATCCTCTGTCAGTACAGGCTTTGTAAAGCAGATCAAGTCTGTCTTAATTATCTTATGCTACAACAGCAGTTTAGTCACTTGAACGGTCGTAAACTTATCCACCGCCAAGTTTAATTCTCTTGTATTTTTTGCTCCAAGCTGTAGACTTTGCCGCGTTTATAGCCCCTCAGAACGGACCAGCAGAAGACACCGCTCTTATATTGTTGCTCCAATTATTTCCATGGGAACATGTTTGTTTGCGAAGACGTTACCCAATAACGGCCGCATATACTTGCTTATTAACAATATGTTGCCTAACACCGAGTGTCGTTTCGTTGTCTGTTTCGAGGTCGCTACCCAGCAACGGCTCTACACGCTGAGCAGGCCGTTGAGATCATCCACAAAGTGAATAACAAGTACGGTAATAAGATGAAAATGAAAGGAAATGATCATTAAAGAACTGGGTATGAAGTATTCGCGCTGAGATTGGGACATCGCACGTAAAAGTGACCCAAGTCCATATAGACTAAAGACTATTCCCAAATTACTGTACCACTGCTTTTGCTATCCTGATAGGAGGAAAACGTCACAAGTCACCCTGGACGCCATTTGGCTTTCTATCGCAGTCTCCCTCTGGCATGTCACCCCGCCTCCGAGATTGGTGCAGAGGCAAAAGGTTAGATATCTCTGTACCAGCTGTAAGGACGAAAAGTGCCGGACGTAGAAGGGGATAAGCCTGGAGTGTTGCACAGTTATGAAACACATTCTCACGAGGATGGGGAGTCATTTCGCCACCACAGCCACTAACACTGAAAGTTTGCGGGGTAATTTAGGTTTCTCTCCACCACCAGCGGCCTCCTCTGGTAGACAGTGGTTGCAGAGCTGCCCACCAGAGTGTTCCACTGCGGTTTCAATTAATGGTTGCAGTAGTAATATGTTCTGGCCTCAGTGCTAGTCCAGGCCGAGTATGCACTGTACAGTCTGATGCCTTCCAACTCGACATAATGATAAGAGAAATTCTTGAATCTGTGTTAACGTTAGGAATGCCAGATTTAATTCCCGTAGAGCGTGGCCGCCATTTTAGGTTGCTGGTGCTGTCCTTTCTTTGGTTAATATCATGCAACATTCTTCAGGAGTTTCCTCTGCATTTCCCTTGACTGTGTGGTTCAAATGGGCACGCGGTAGCGTGGTTGGTTGAGGCACTATGCCACAAGCTGGAAGGTCGTGGGTTCGAGTTCCGATAAGGTGGACTCTTTTAGCCGGTCACGATAGCGGAACGGTCTGAGGCATGTACTGTCCTCGCTCGCTCGGAAGCCGGAATCGTGGGTTCGAATCCCACACAAGGCATGGATGTTTGGTGTGTTTATGTGTTTATTCTGTGTTTGCGTTGTCCTATGTTTAAGTAGCGGCCTTGCGACGAGCTGATCACCCGTCCAAGGACTCCTACCGTCTGTAAAATGACCATGAAACTGAAAATCAGAGGCGAAGGCCCAATGTGGCTGTAAATCCAGTGAAAACCGAAATGTGGTTCAAATGAAATGCTAACAGATGTCACATGTTGTCTAATATAGCAGTTTGAGGCTCGAAATACTTGTAAAATCGGAATTTTCGACACTTGGCATTTGTTGAATTAAAGAGAAAAGCATGAGTACTCTATGGCCTAAGTCGCATTCATTTCCTACCCGAATTTTCGTCAGGGATGTTGTGAAGATGGTAATGAAACTTCGGGTTTCATAAAATGTTGAGAAATTCTAGGGTAGCTGAGCGACTGTCGGCTTCTTAAGAAGGAACTGGTTAATCTGAATTTTCGTCTCTCCTACTCCGAGAAGAGTACAGTTATATGGAAAGTTCTCAACAGAAGATTGTCGTTAAAATTCCGAGGTTAAGAATGAGTGGGTCTATGCCACCACGCCCCCATTTGTCGTCATACCGCTGTTAATTAGGACAGTGACGATACGGTTATCACGTACTTACAGTTTACAGTACTTGCCACGTGTTGCACCACCAGACAGGACTTCATTCATGTATCGACTTTAAATGTAGAAATTATTATTCACTGCGAAGACAAGACTCTAATCATTTTTAACCTACTTTCGTAAAGTAGGCTTGAGCGATGTTTTTCCCTCCGTATTAAGTTCTGAATGCCTGATCCAATCTGCATGAAACTTGGTATGCATATCATGGGCACCTGAGCCAATTTTAACGGTGTACTTCAGTCTGTGTGTCTGTATGTGTTGCTAGGCAACGGCTCGGTAGAACCTTATCGCTGTGACGAATAAACACTTAACAGTTTATGAATTGTTGGACCAATCGTTTTCTATGCTATCCTTATCGTATTAAAAGAGAGTCTGTGGGTCTGATTCTGTATCCTCCTACCGTTGCTAAGCAACGGCTCGGTTGCGTGTCGTGTCAAAATAGACAGTTGGTTCTTCCTAGAACTTCTTGTTTAGTTATTTAACGACGCTGTCAGCATCGAGACTATGTAATGTCGGATGGTAGGATGATTGATTAATTGGAAGGAAAGGGGGAGGAAACGATCTTGGAGTAGTCGAAGTACTATCCCGACATTTTCTGAAGTTATTAAATAAAACCATGACAAGAACTTAATCGTAATAGCCGGTGTCCCGGCCGAGAACCGAACCAAGCACCTCCGAATGCAAGTGACGAGCTTTGCCTCTGAACAGCCATGTTGGGTAACATAAATAAAACCAAATAAATTCGGAATCAGTTTGTACGTGAGTGCGAACAGTACCGGCAGAATTAATCCTCGTGCCTTGAGAATACACGAGAACAAGAGTAAAGTTATTAATAACGGTATTAGTTATGCTGTTGTAAGCACTTGAAATATACAGACGTTTATTTTAAACCTTTGTGTATGTAGTTTATTAAAGGGGGAGACATTCGAGTTCCTGTCTGTTTCGCTGGCTGACGTTTTGGAATTATTCCAGAGTGTAAATATGTTAAGAGTACAGCTTGAACTCCCAACACTTGTGAATTACATGACTGTGTATTGTATCTGGATACTGTACCATATAATGGCTGACTCTAATAGCAACATAATTTACTAAAGGAATGTGGGTCCATTTTCTTTTATTAAATAAAATGGTTTCTAAAGCTATACGTTTAGAACACGTTTTGTCGTTTAATAGGCCCAGCGCTATGACGTAATAACTAGTATCTCACTCTAGAAAATGATCCTGTAAATTGGAAAAAATACTTTTGGAAAGCCACAAGTTCTCAATCTTGACTTTTAATCGCATCTTTCATGGAAATTTAATCTGTTAATCGTGGTGTGAAGAGGATGTTGAGGGACAGCTAAACGTCATCTTCAGACAGTCTGCTCACTTGGTACACAAGTCTTTTCTTTTTAACATTTCCCTGCAAAGTAACATGTGTAACGAAGTGAAATCTAGAGGAAGTAGCCTGACATTGCACTCGCCATGAAAGTGATATATTAAATTGCATAATACTGGCTAATATTCATTAGCTCTGTAATAGAATTGATCTCTGAAGCCTTCTGTATACAACTCAGAACTTGTGTGAAATTAGTTTATGCAGTTATTCCTAATATGAAACTGGGTCTCTGACATTAAGGGAGGAACATAGACTGAGGGTGTTTGAGAACAGGGTGTTGAGGAGAATATTCGGACCGAAGAGAGATGAAGTGACAGGAGGTTGGAGAAAACTGCATAATGAGGAGCTCCATAACTTGTACTCTTCTCCAAGTATAATTAAAATGATCAAGTCAAGGAGGATGAGGTTGGCAGGGCATGTGGCACGAATGGGGGAGACGAGAAATGCGTATAGGATGTTGGTGGGAAAGCCAGAAGGAAAGAGAACACTGGAAAGACTAAGGTGTAAGTGGGTGGACAATATTAAAATAGATCTTATAGAGATAGGATGGGATGGCATTGATTGGATTGATCTAGCTGAGGATAGGGACCAGTGGAGGGCTCTTGTGTATACGGTAATGAACCTTCGGGTTCCATAAAATGCTCAGAAATTATTGAGTAGCTGCAGAATTGGCGGCTTCTCCAGAAGGGATCAGCTCCATGAGTAAGTAAGTAAGTTATTCCTGATATAACCGTTAAATTTAAATTAAAGAACTTCATTCCATAATTGTCTAGAGAAGCTTGCTAAATGACATTTCCATTTCGTATCTGAAATAAAAAAAGGGTTTCAATTATTTTTGCGCAAAACTTTGAATTTGTTTGACATGTAGAGCAAATACTATATACACGTATGATATGTATTCATTGTGGGACTCTTGTGTTTACGGTAATAAACGAAAAGTAATTTTTTCTGGGATTTGGAGCCGTGTACTCTGGTAGAAGTTTACCAACGTCTCGGAGAAACATACTGACTCCGCCCTTAAGATCAAGGAGGAAGCTTATTAAGTCCTTGGCTTGTTCTTCCGTCCAGAACATGAATGCAGAATCAGTCCTGCAGATCTGTAACAAACTTCTGCCATACCACATTGCCTTATACCGCAGAACTCAGTGTATCTCACTATTTCAATCAGGTAGTTGTTAGTCAAGATTTTCGAGTGTGCTTAGCTCACAAGTCGTTTTATTTTATTACAGAAGCAGTTGGCCATTTCGTACAAGCGGTATCAGCAACATGTTCAAGGGTGCTGGAGATCAAAGTAACGGGACAGGCTTGATGTCGTGATCACCAGCTACACCACGGCGCAGTGGAGACACACAGTAGACATGTTACTTCATGAAGAACAGTTTCATCACAGCCTTTCCAACCGGCAGTTCACACCTCAATACCGTACCCAGCTTCCAGGACGTGTTCACGAGGACTCCTTCGACTTCTTCCACTTCAGTCTCCTTCAGTGTAGAACCAACTTTACGTGATGGTTCTTGACCATACCATCCCCACTTATAAATTACATTCCTGTGTTTCCAAGTGTCTCCAAGAGGCATCAAACTCTGCTTTACGCAGTTAATTTAGTTCAGTCGGAGGATGGAAAGACATTTTGATATGCTCTCTATGCGGCTTCGCGAACCATGTTGCTTATGTTCGAGAGCTTTTAACAGAACATTTCACTAACTAGAACATGTTTGGAAGCCGCTGCTAACTTTGAAGTTGTATAACGAATTAATATAATTTCACTTTGGCGAATGTCGCTTTGAACAATGAGGTTACCGTGTTTCATTTGTTCGCTGTTAGGAAACTCAGTGTTTGGCAACTGAATATGGAAGATTTTGTGCAGTGATTTGATGATTTATGGTGAAGTTTATTATACAGTAACGTTAATGACAATAGTATAATCATACAACGATCAATTCCTTTCTGAAATCTACTGAGCTGTACGAGCCGCGATAGCAAAGAAGTCGATTCGTAACATTTCCGGTCCCTCTTTTATCACGTGCGTTACAACAGACCTGCGTGCAGAACGTAATTAGTGCGTGAATCTGGCAGAATTCACATTCATTTCTGCGTTGTTTTCGTGTAGTAAGTGTGTGTATGCGTATGTGGAAAGTGCGTGAGCTGCCATGAAGCCTGCTGCGTGATAATGACGGTGGTTGCCATGCCTACCAACATAGCAACAACAACTACCGCGATCACCGCCTCTGTTACTACAACATGGACTCTGTTTATGGTCACCTTGTACTACTTTGTCACCATCTTACTTCTCCTCGATGTGAGATGTCACGCCCTTGAATTGGGTAAGTTTTTATGCTTAGATCTTGAATAATTTTGTACGAACGTCTTGTTCTGTATATACAGCACATATAATGCGCTGTAAGGTAGCGTGTTAAAGTTCTTGTCTGACACAATAATTTGCCGAACGCAGTTTCTTTGATCATGACTTTTGAAATAATTTACTTGAAAATGGTCATGTGTGATGTGCAAATGGTGACAAGCTAAAGTAAGACACTTTCCTGCCCGAATAATTTGCCTCCTTTTGTTCTTTTGACGAAAATTTTTAAATAATTTCGGTTGAAAATTGTTATTAATATTAATGAGCTCGGGGATGATAAAATAAATTAATGTTCATACTGAATAATATACTATCTGTAGTACTTTTCACGACAATATTTAAATTATTTACTTCAATATAATTATTTCTTTCACTGGCTCTACGGCCCCCTTGGGCCCTGGCCTCTGATTTTCAGTTTCATGATTATTTTATAGACGGTAGGACTCCTTGGACGGATGTTCAGCTCGCCGCAATGCCTCTATCTAAGCACAGGACAACACAAACACAGAATAAACACGTACACACGCCAAACATCCATGCCTTGTGTGGGGTTCGAACCCACGATCCCGGCTTCCGAGCGAGCGAAGACAGTACACGCCCTACACCTCTCGGCTACCGTGACCCCCTGAATATTATTATTGGTGGTGGAAAATTTATGGATGCTAATAGAATAAGTATGAATAATAACGTAAGTTCACCATAAAATTAGCCTGCATACACTGTGTGATGTATGACTGGTGACAAACATGTCGTAGTGTACTACACTAACTTAGGTTCCTGTCCGAATATTTTGCTTCCTGTAGTCTCTAATAATTTTGAAACTATTTTATGCTGAAGTGATGGTGGTGAACTAACTAAAAGCTTACTTGTCTGACCGAGTACTTTGATTCGATAGTTACTTTGGCGACAGTTTTAAATAACTTTATGTTGAATGAAACATGCGATCTACCAATTTTCGCGAGCTTTTCCTGCCCAACAGTCGTTAGCGTCTATGAAATTAACAAGACACAAGTCTAACAGAACCACCATGACTTCATGTTTCAGATATTTACACATACTAAAATGAAAAAAAGTTAAATGTATCCCTGTAACAGGCCGTGGAGGTCCATAGAGTTGTGAGACGTCGAAACTCCCACATTTTCTCTAGACAGTCTGTTCACAGATGTCGGTGAAGTTGTCAGCCTTACGCGCCGACCGCCCATTACCCCCAGGAAGATTCCTGGTACTCATTTCTATTAGAGGCTGAGTCGACCCCAGAGCCATAGTGCGGCTGGAAGGATTAGGGCAGTTGTAAGACCTCATCGGGAATCGAACCCGCGACCTACCGACTTGTACCATAGTGCCTCAACCAGCTAGGCTACGGCGTGCCCTCTGCACATATTTCTCACATTCTGCGTGTACAAACTGTCGCTGATTGTGAGCTAAATTGTCTACTTAAAGCATCTCATTTTATAAAATAATAGTTTTGTAATGGAGAAAGTAATTTGCCTCCTGTTTTTACGTAAGTGAACTGTACATGAAGTGATGAAGAGGATGCAAAGAGGGGTCGGCTTTAATTTTGCAAAGAGGAGGTTTCAGCGCCTCTCCTGATGATACCCACCTCCCGCTAATTAATATTTATCAATTTTATGCGCTAGGCAAGATCCTGCTCTGCTTTGTAGCAACGAACGTGGGAAATTATATGTTCCACATATCGCAGACGTGTAGCGCTGGATAACCAGTTTCAGACCTTCTCCGTACACAGATGTGATGTGAGTTTACTGTACTCCAGTAGGGTAACATCATTCATTGGGCCGCGCTGTAGCTCAAGCGGTTAGTCGCTAGCTTCCCACCGCGGCGGTCCGGGTTCAATCCCGGGTCTGGTCAAGTGGGATTTGTGGTACACAAAGTGGCGCTGGGGCAGGTTTTCTCCGAGTACTTCGGTTTCCCCTGCCAATCTTCATTCCACCAGTTGCTCCACAATCACCCTCACCTATCATCTCGGGCTGGTATAATGGGCCAGAAGTGGCCGCAGTACAAGGGACTTAGTCCCACCCCACTAGCAATAAAAAAACATTCATTCCTCCGTCATCTTCCTTTCTTGTGCGTGTGACGGAGAGGGATGTAACGTCTCTTCCTGTGCGTTGCTACGTCTCCCTCATTCTTCGGCTTTGTCTGTTTATTACACGCTCTCTTCTTATTTTATTTTATACTTCCAAATCTCGATTTTCTGCTTCTGTGTTTGGTATTTTTTCCTTTTACTTTCTTATATGTTCCCTGTCTTCACATTTATATTTTCCCTTACATTTCATCTTTCATAGTTCCTATTAAAATGTATCTCATATTGAAGGTAAAAGTAAAGAAATCCCTGTAACAGGCCGTCGAGGCCCATAGGGTTGTGAGACCTCGAGGATCCCACATTTCCTAGACAATCGGCTCACAGATGGCGTTGAAGTTGTAACCCTTACGCATCGGCCGCAATTTACCCCCCAGGAAGATTCCTGGTACTTATTTCATTTAGAGCCTGAGTCGAACCCAGGGCCATATTGCGGCTGTAAGGTATGGGTCAATTGAAAATCCAGCGATCTCTTCGGGAACCTGAGCGCGTGAAGCCGAGGAATTTCCACAAGTCGTTGCTAGGGAACGGCCGATGAAAACAGAGCAGGCTGGGAAAATGCTTAGTGGGTGCTATGGTTATTTGCAAAGTGTGGAGATTAGCGATAGCGCTGTAATTACTTGTATGTCCGAGTGATGTTTATAAGTGATCAATAAATTCATTCACCAATCCATACCCCGTTTGTAGTCACCCATAAATCTTGACAATAATAACACTTTTTATGATTCAATTACTATTATATTTTTATCAAAATATACCAAATAACAATCAAACTCCGTGGTTTTAGTCCGGAAGCGAACTATACCGACCGAGCGACCGCCGCTTTTCGGCGAAGTTAGTGCCAACTTTAAAGAATAGAGAGTGTCGCGTGGTGAGCCCGACGAATCCCCACGACAGTTAATTTCGGTTTTCTACACCGGAGCCTCTATTTCCTTGAAATGGTTCCTCAGTTATCCTCACGAGGCTGAGTGGACCTCGTTCCAGACCCACTACTTTTCAGAAAATCTGGTAGTGCCGGGAATCGAACCCGGACCTCTGGATCTGTAGCCAGGATCAACCGAAGTTAACAGAGAAGTTCATGGAGATAGGCCTAGGCCCACTGGGGCTGTAGTGGCAAGGAAAAGAAAATAGGGTATGAAAGTGATTATCTCGGCTCATGAAAGAAAGAAAGAAAGAAAGAAAGAAAGAAAGAAAGAAAACCATTCCAGATATATGCAGATTTATGTATTCCCTTTGCCATCTGAACATCCGAATTATATTTACTATATTTGTTAAACGACGGCGTAAATTATTATTTAACAGTGTTAAGGTTCGGCCACACAGAGCGCTACGCTATGTTCGCTACGTACGCTGTGTACACTCTGCGACGAAGCTAACATAGGGAACATAGCTTACGTAGCGTACGGAAGTCTATGTGGCCAGTCACATTGGCAATAAAGGGAGATATTTTTCTGTTCGTATAGCGAACATAGCGTACGTAGCGTGCGTCGCGTACGTAGCGTTCTGTGTGGCCGAGTCTTTATCCTTTTCTTACTGCTTCTCCTTTACGTTAAAGCAGGTTAGGTTAGTGTCGTCCAAATCATGCCGATACAGAAGAGTAATGATGAAGCATTCTAGGAGCTATGTTATTTCAGTGAACTTCTCGCGATACGCGACCTCTGTCAGCCCAAGTAAACGCGTATACATATTATAATTGTAGACTACATGAAAGTATATAAAACGGTAAAGCTGTCCCTGTAACAGTCCGTGGAGGCCCATAGGGTTGTGAGACATCGAGGCTGCCATATTTTCTAGACAATCGACTAATTGATGGCGGTGAGGTTGTTAGCCTTACGCTTCAGCCTCCCTTTACCACCCAGGACGATTCCTGGTATTCATTTCTGTTAGAGGCTTGAGTCTACCTTAAGGCCATAGAGCGGCTGGAACGATTGGGTCAATTTAAAATCCTGTGATCTCCTTGGGAATCGAACCCGTGATCATCCATCTTCTAGTATAGTGCCTCAATCAACTACGCTACCGCGTGCCCCCCACGTAAAAGTATGTGCTTGTATTAATGGAATTGTGCCTCTAAAGGCGCGTCCACATTACTTGTGCTCGTGCTCGTGTGACTCGCTATGCTCGCGAGTAATGTGGACCATATGACAAGTCACGAGACAAGCAAATTTTTAATTTTTAATTTAAAAACTATAGCCAATAAATTAAAATACAACTACAGCCTATACACACTACGAGTAAATATACGGATCCTCACGCGCCGAAGCCTGGCGAGCAACTGAAGTAGTGTGGACGAAGATTTACGAGCACAAGTAAAAGCCAGACGAGTCTCCCGACGAGCACAGGCCTGGCGAGCACGAGCACGAGTAATGTGGAAGCGCCTTAACTATTAAAGCTCTCAGGCACTGGAAGTAATTACATTCTCCTGTGAACGCAAAGAAACATACGTGTATGTGAAACTGGCGTTTGCGTTTAAGATATGCCATCGTCTATGTGTTTGTGTACTGCTGTTATAATAAAATTCTGTAATTGTTTTACGTAGAGCTACTTTCGTATAGTGCTTGTATATGGATTGGAGGAAATTACATAATAATGAACTTCATAGCTATCACTCTTCGTCATGTGTAATTAGAATGGTTAACTCAAGGAGGATTAGATGGGCAGGGCGTGTAGCGCCCTTCAGGGAGACAGTTAATACATGTAAGATTTGGGTGGCAAATCCAGAAGGAAAGACACCACTATGAAGACCTAGACGAGAAAGATGGGTTGGTGTGGATAGAATAGGGACCAGTAGAGGGCTCTTGTGTACACGGTAACGAACCTTCGGATTCCTTAAAATGTTTGGAAATTCTTGAGTATCCGAATACTCAAAAGGG